AAAATGGTGACGTGTTCAATACTTATTTTGCCCGCTGTATTTTAGTTAATGAAATGTTAAATGGTTATTTATTCTGACCACATCATATTGAATTTTTGCAAAAAAAACATTAAATTAAATTAAAAAAATGTTTTAGGCCGACTTCCGGTTGAGCGAATGACAGGGTAGGAAGTGTCTGGCTGAGCTCCCGCAACAACCAGAGATAATTGTTATTTTCGGCACATTTTTGATAGTTTTTTTACTAGTTTTTCGGTGTGCTTTTTTGTCAACATTATAACCCGTCTAAAGTCTTGGCTTTTTTTTTCGACCAAGATGCCTCCAAAAGTCAAATCGTCTGCACAGCAACAGAGGCCTGCTTCTCAGGCTACATCCCCGCCTCGTGGTGATTCTCCTTCTGGCTCTGATGAACTCTCTGACGGTCATCCCTCCTCGGCCTTTAAGTCCGAGCTGCTTTCGGCTCTTCGGGTTGAAATGGCACAAGTTTTCAAGATCGAACTCCAAGCAGCTCTTACTTGACGAGTATTAAAGCTGAGCTCCTAGCAGTGAAGTCGGAATTAACTAGCAACACTGTCAACCTTCAGCTGAATATGCGCGCCTTGAAGGACACAGTGGGAGAGTTGGAAACATCATGCTCTACAAGCACCGATGATATCACTACCCTACAGGCTAAGGTGGAGAAGCTGTCCACGGATTTGAAAAGATTAGACAATATGTGATGACCTCGAGGTCAGATCTCGTTGCAACAATTTGCGGCTGATAGGCATTACAGAGGATCTTTCCACCTCATCTACAGCCATTTCCTCTTTACTTAAGGAGGCTTTTCAGTTGGAGAAGGAGCCCTTGGTGGATCGTGCCCATCGTACTCTTCAACCGAAGCCGAAACCTGGAGAGCGACCTCGTCCTATAATCGTTCGCCTGCACTATCACTCTGACTGTGTGGACATATTACGCCGAGCAGCGGATCATGTTTGGTGACTCATGCTTCTTTGTTTTCCCGGACCATATGTCGAGGACGGCCCTTTAATGATGTCCGCCGTCAGCGCCGCGAGATTCCGGGGATCCGTTTTGGCCTGCTCTATCCAGCACGACTTCGGGTCACGCACAATGGTACGGAGAAGGAGTTCCATTCATCAAATCGCTCAAGACATTAGAGAACTTTGTAAAAGTGCACAGCTTTGAATGAGCAGCTACGTGTTACATTCACTGGTTGTTATTCTCCTTTTTTGCTTCACTGAGCCTGTGTTCGCTTTTGTAATTAACATTTTGTAGTTCGACATATTTTGGTCTCAACCAGATGTGCTATAGTGATGAACATTGATGAATGTTGTTGAGCTTGCGGGAGCTCAAACTGCAGCTTTTCTGCTACTACGCTGCTAAAAACCAGAGGCATCCACTCTATGGATTTGACTCCTTTAGGAGTCTACACTGGGTTCTCCATCGTTTGGGGATGGGGTCGTTGTAAGTGCTGTGGGGAGGGGGTGCTTGTTCACTCTGTTAAAGTTCTTATTTTTTGTTTTTACTTGTTGTAAATTTGTCTTTTTTTCCCTTTCTTTTGTGTGGTGGTGGCGGGCAGTGGACCGTGTTCAGTTCTCTTGCTTCTTCTTTTGGACTTGAAACATGTCTACTAATAACAATAATGTTAATATCCCACAAATGGGGGTCTACTGTGAGATTTTTGAGGTGGAACATTAAAGGTATGGGCAGTCCACTTAAGAGATCAAGGATTTTTGCCCATTTGAAACGTCTTAAAGCAGATACAGGAAACCCATATGCGCACCAAAGATCGGGTCAGGCTAAAATGTCCTTGGGTTTCTGATGTATTTCACTCAAATTTCAATTCTAAAGCCAGGGGGATTGCTGTTTTAGTTGGTAAATCAATTCAGTTTTCAGCTTCTAAAATTATAGCTAAATGGCTGATACCCAATTGTCTCTGGTGTTTTATTTCATGTCCCAATTCTTAGTGAATATACAGTATATGCTCCCAATTTTGATGACCCAAATTTTATGAATAAGCTATTTGAATCTCTTCCTTCTTTAGATAATAATCTCCTTATAGTTGGTGGTGATATGAATTGTGTCATTGATCCCAATTTAGACCCGCACAGATTGGTCCCTTCATTAGATCACTCTCAGATTTCATGTCAAAAAATGGATGTGTTGATCCGTGGAGATTTTATAATCAAAAAACCAAGAAATTTTCTTTCTTTTCCCACTTGCATCACTCTCTCTCTCTCGTATTYATTATTTTTTATAAGCACTAAGCTAATTCCAAATGTTCTATCGGTTAATTATCACCCTATCGTCATTTCTGATCATGCCCCTCTTTCATTAGATATTAAGTTTGCCTTACAACGTCGGTGTGTCACACCATGGAGATTCAACCCTTTACTTCTTTCAGATGAAAGGTTTAATACATTTATCACAGCGCAAATTGATGATTTTATTGCAATAAATCAAAATGAGAATAACACAATTTTATATTCTTTACTTTGGGAATCACTAAAAGCGTTCTTACGAGGACAAATTATCTCATATTCCGAAGACCCGTAAAGCGAAATTGTTGGAAATTAGTGCTAATATTACTAATCTGGATAAACAAATTGCTATTTCCCCCTCACCAAGTTTACTTAAACAACAGGTTGATTTACAGTCTGAATTTGATCTTATTACCACAAATGATGGAGAGCGACTTCTCTTACGATCACGCTCCAATGATTATGAACATGGTGATAAGGCTAACTGACTTCTGGCTCACCAGCTTRGTRGTKGGGCAGCTTTGAATATGATCCCACAGATAATGGACTCATCAGGCACTTTGCATCAAGATCCCATTACTATTAATTTGGTATTTCAGTCATTTTATTCTTCATTACTTAAATCTGAATTTCCAGCTAATTCCACTGAAATGAATCGGTTTCTTGATAATCTTAAGTTCCCTGTGATAAACTCAAATGTTGCTAAGGAACTTGACTTGCCTTTAACCACAGAGGAAATTGTTGCTGCCTATTTTAGGGGGCTCCAGCCCCCATAAAATAGGCCTAGTGCCGCCACTGATGCTTGGCTGTCTCAGATTTCTGCTTCTGGTTTGTTCTGGAGAGATGCTGCTGCTGGAGTTTTAGTTTTGACAGGACTTCATTCTTCAGATATTTAAAACTAAAAGAGTCCTGGGTGAAGATTAGGACCCTGCGGGACACTCAGTCTATCAGGACAGTTTGATTGTCCCTTCTCGTCCCCTCAGATGTCCCTCTCAGTCACGTCTTTGTGTTTGTGTGCGGTCAGTGGAGCGTCTGACTCACAGCTTCCCACATAAAACAAAACTGCAGCTGAAAACTTTGAAGGTGCAGTCTGAATGTTAGAAACACTGGGATGAGAATAAAAAGAAGAATGCATTAACTGATCTATGAAATATAAGCATCACTTTCACTGTGAGGCAGCTGCAAATGGATTCCTTCCACGAGCTCTCGCTCACATTGTGGTGAGAAGTCTTGTAAAGTTGCCAAATCACGCTCAGAGCTCAGATGTGAAACAAGCGGAGGACAATGATAGGAAAGGGATCGTTATTTCACAGGAGTCCAGCTGCAGCAGCGTCAGAAAAGCCTTCCTGTCCGGATCGGTTTGATCCTGGCAGCAGGTCTGACTGAAGGTCCAGCACTCAGAGAAATACCAAAGTTTAGGACGAGAGGAATAAATTTAGACTTTTTGAAAGCTGCATCTTTTCAGGTTTGTGTAACTGTGCACAAAATCCAAATCTGTTGACTCATGTTTTGTGGGATAACTGGAACAAAATGACAAATAATGTCYTAACTTGATTTGTTTTGGCTAAGGAAACATCTATATTTGAAAGTACAAACAGTAGTTTTTATAAAATCTGCCCTAAAATCATAATGTTTAAGAAAAATGCTTTAAAATATTTCTTTTAGGTTGTAAACTTATTGTTTTCATGGTATTTCCTGTAGTTTTATATCATTAGTAATAGTATACGTAGTTGAGTCACAGAAGTAGCAGATCCAGGAGAGAAATTCCAGACCTCCCTCTCCACAGCTCCTCCTGGGGGGATCACAAGTCCATGAAATGGACGTTATTAGGCGTTATCAGTCCCATACAATGGCTTCAGTGGGTCCCTACTGTGCCTACTAGGCTTCAGACTGTCCCGACAGTGCCCCCTAGTGGGTTAATATATCAATGACAATGAATGTGTAAAGAACCAAAAGATATTGTAATAAATTTTTTGTGTCCCTGTCGGTCTCAAACCCTGGTTTCCTGCTCTCTGGTCCAACACTCTACCCATTGCCCTATTGCAAGGCCACAATATAAACCGTTGGAAGGCAATGTCTTTAGCGCTAACCATGTCATTTGCTCTAAAGTTAAACTTAGTGGCTTTATGCCTCATACTGACCAGCTGACAATCGGAAGCCATTCTATGGGACTGATAACGCCTAATAACGTCCATTTCATGGATAACATCCGAAGCGGGTGCCCCAGACCAGAGAAAATATACAGACTTCAAACACTTCACTGTGTGGCATCTTGGCAAAATTAAAAACAAACGAAACCGACAAGATATCTGAAAAATAATTCACAAATCTGGTTCTCGACCYAAAAAAGGTGGAATCTCTGCCTCAAGTGGAGGAGTTTTAGTATTACGAGTGATGATAGGATGGAGCGGGAGATGGATCGACGGATTGGGGCCTCGTCCTCAGTAACGAGGGTGTTGCTTCGGTCGGTCGAGGTGAAGAAGCTGAGTGGAAAGGCAAAGCTCTGGATTTACTGGTGTGTCTTTGTTCCAAACCTCACCTGTGGTCACGAGGTGTGGATCAGGCCCGAAACAACGAGATCCTGGATACAAGCGACTGAAATGAGCTTCCTTTGGTAGGGTGGGCCGGGCTCAGCCTTAGAGATAGTGTGAGGAGCTCCGACATCTGGAGGGAGCTCAGAGTAGAGCCGCTGCTCCTCCACATCGAAATGAGCCAGTTGAGGTGGTTCATCATCCTAACTGTGAGGCACGGAGGTGGCAGCATCATCCTAACTGTGGGGCACGGAGGTGGCAGCATCATTCTGTGGGGTGCTTACAGGAGGGAGTGGAAATATTGAAGCAACATCTAAAAAACATCAACCAGGAAGTTACAAACGTGTTTTAAAATGGACCCTCTTGCAACCAAATCAGTTATGAAATAAGGTTTTATTTTTTAAATCATTTTTCAGGCTTTTATTTTATTTTATTTTATTTCCCAAGAAACTGATTTTAGTGTCGTCTCTGCTGGAGTTGTTTGTCTTTTGATAAAACTGTGAGTCAAAATCAAAATAACTGATCAGGTTTCCTGACCTTTGACCTGCTGGTGGGTTCAATAAGACTGAATCGACCTTTGTGGAAAATATTTGTCATATCTGAGGGTTTGGATCAAATCTTACTGCTGCTAAAGTTACCGAAAACAAGCTTTAATGATAAAAACAGAATCTGAAGGCTTTGTTACATTTTAGAGAAACTGTGGGCTGCCGTTTGTAAAGTCACACAGTCAAAAATTACCACCAATGTTTTTGTTTTATTTAGCCTTTTATAAGAAAAAAAGAACAGATTTATTTTTCAAAGTCAGTTTTTCACCATAAGATTCATACATTTATAAATGTCATAGTTTATAAACTAAATATTTAACTTACAAATTAAATATTTAGTTAACAAGCTAAATATTTAACTTGTGACTAAAATATTTAGTTTTGAGCTAAATATTTAACTTGAAACTTAAATATTCAGGTAGCTAGCTAAATATTTAAGTTGAAACCTAAATATTTAGGTATCTAGCTAAATATTTAAGTCACAAGCTAAATATTTAGCTTGTGACTTAAATATTTAATTTGTAAGTTAAATATTTAGTTTATAAACTATGACATTTATAAATATATGAATCATATGGTGAAAAACTGACTGAAAAATAAATCTGTTCTTTTTTTCTTATAAAAGACTAAATAAAACAAAAATATTGGTGGTGATTTTTGACTGTTTAACTTTACAAACTGCACCCCACAGAAATCTATTTGTGTACCTTGGTTTCTGTTCTGGGTGAACTGCTGAGTCACTGTGTTTTATCTGAGTCAGCACAAAGACTCACTGCTTCCAGCTAATGAAAGAGGCTCTGCGGTGCTCCAGTTAACGGTTTTCTGCAGATTGTGGACAAAAGTCCAAATAACTTCAACGCCTCTGTCTTACAGGACGACCACCTTTCAGGACTGAAGATGGATCCTGGAGGTTCATGTGAGTTCCGTCTCTCAGGACAAACTGACGAGTCGTCATATTTTCTCTGATCTGACCGTGCGGTTTTCCTCAGGCGTCCCAGATGATCCAGACGTGAGGCGGATGATGGAAGGGTCGACTCTGAGGAAAGTCAAGTCCCGCCTCTGGAAGAGGCAGAGACACTTCCGTCTTCTGGAGGACGGCCTGACGATCTGGTACAAGTCCAGATGGGCAGGGAAAGGCCACTCCACCTGTGAGTGCAGAAGCCCCTCGATAACACGACTGTGCTGATTTATTTTAATCACATGATCCGTCAGATTATCCACGAAAGAACAGACGTCTGAATATTTGCAAAAAGCAAAAGTTTATCASTTTGAACAATAATTATCTRGTCTTTGTACTCAATTGAATATAGGTTGAAAACGATTTGCAAATCACAGTATTCTGTTTTTATTGATGTTTTACGCAACATCCTAACTTGTCCTGATGCGTCTCAGTAATCCAGGTAGAAAAAATCAAAAAGAAAAAATCAGTAGGTCCTCTGGATGGTTCTTCTTTAGTGAAACGTTTCATCTCTCCTGAAGAGACTTCTTCAGTCTGATGAGTTTCAGGTGAACTCAGCCTTATAAGCACCGCCTCCACATGGACAAACAGGTTAGTCACATGCAAAACAGGGCCATTGACTAACAATAGGCTTGATTAGCTCTATTGTTCATAGAGGGTCATGTGTCCATCACCTGACTTATTGGTTTGGATGCTTCGGCTGTGGTTATTTGGTGTTTTGTCTTGTGTATGTAGTGAGTGCAAGCGGGGTTCAATGTCCCTTGTTTTTGTATCTCTTTACCTATCTGTGTTGGTATCATTGGGCCCTGATTCACACC